AGATTAAAAAAAGTAATGCAAAGAATGCTTCAATCTTTGAGGAGCAATTACTCAAACCCTTTGAAAAACAACTTGGGAAATGCTCAAAATTATAATGCCTAGAAACAGTCTAAGCTGTAAGAAGTTTATCTTTGCCTCATCCGTGTTCCCTCTCGTGTTTAAATCCCTAGAAAGGCAGGCACAAAGAACAGATTGCCGAGGTTGTTGCAGAGCTGCGATTTAATTCATCTCTCTCCAGCAGACATCTCACGCCAGTAGCATTTTGTTACCGATCCTTGGGAAATTGGAGCAGCTATCACCAAGTGTTATTAACTTGGACACTGCTGGAAGCCTGGACATTCACAATACCATTACATCGCCACAGTCGCATAGGAAAGCTGTGCTCTGAATGAAATAAAGGGCACTTGCAAGAGTATTAATTTCTAAGATTGAATAAACTACAATAAAACTACAACAGCAATTCTGTTCCATAAACGTCTGTAAGCCCCAAGCTTATACAATATTAACTGTGTGCTACACCATGTGCCTTGTTTAGTAATAAGTATGACTCTTTGTATCAGCTTTCCCCATTTTATTGAGAGTCTTGAGGTCTCTTGAAAGTCATAGGAATGCATCATAATCCAGGCTTTACGTTTTAGAGGATGAGGTTTATAGGACTGCAATACAAAGACTGCACCCTGAAGAACTGTGGAGAAAAATACCTAATCCCTCCCCTTGGTTTTTAAAGGCCTGATGTTAAAATCTGGCACTATTTAAACTTAAAACTATTTTCCACATCCAAGCAGCTGTAGCCTGAGGCCACAGGAGTTCTCCTCCCAGGGCATTCAGGTACAGCTCCCTGCATCACCTGTGCAGGCCAAATCTGGCACTTGCAGACATTTGTTACATCTACCTACCAAAAATAACTTTGATTAAGCCCCTGGAACCTCACGCTGTCTCCAGGAGAAGTAAGGACCCATTTCTTCAGTCCTGCCATTGAGGGGACAAGCACAGGTCTCTGCTAATTACCAGCTGGCCTCTCTTTGTTCGAGTTTTGCCCTAAAACTGCCGCAGCCCAGCACCCTGTTTGCAAGCTGCACAGACATTTCACATCTTCAGACTGAAGTACTTGGGCCGTAGTGGCTTTTGCTCTAGAAGGCACAATCATCCATGCCAGTAGTTCCAAAACCGTGGTTTGTAAAGCCACGGCAAGAGCTCTGCAGCACCAGACTGCTTCCAAGTTTAAACTGCAAGCCCAAGACAAATTGAGGATTAAGGTAGCTGCCTGCAGTCCAGAAAGTTTGGGAACCAAGGAGCTTAAGAGAATGAGCCCATCATTCCCTAATGGTAATCTCTCCACCCTTCTGCTCCGCTGCCACAGCTGCAAAGGGAAATTACAGCTCGCTGCAATCCCTTCTTTTGCGCAAGGGATGGGATCCAGGTCATATACCCATAAAATACCACAAACAGAGCAAATAGATACCAAAAGCTGACTGCAGCAGCCACAGTACAAATAGCTACCAATTGGTCCCGTCCCCACTGCAGAGCTGGGCTGCATGCTGTCACATCGTGCAGCCCAGGAATGTGTCCTGGGCAAGCTGGGGAAAGTCATCCAACACCCTCACCTCCTCGTTTAGTTGGATGCCTTTGTTCAGGCTGCTGGAAATAGTATTCCTCAGCTACATGGTTAAAAATAAACTTTTTCATCATTAACTCCTAATCCACTTGGGAAAACAAACAAACAAACAAAAAACAAACCACTCTAGAGCAGCCAGTACCATTTCCACATAACCTTCCCGCTAGCCCTTTGCTATTGTTACCACCATCTCCGTCAGCAAACAGGAGCACCTTTGCTTTGCTACCACCCTTTCCACAGGGAGACCACTGCCCATGCCTGCTTATAAAGCCTGGAGTTAAAGCCACCAGAGCTTGGAGCTTTGGCCATTTTGCTCCCAGTGTTTGCAGTTTTCATAGCTCTCTCTTTCCTGGCCTTGAAATGTAATCAGCCATTAGGAGGCAGATGTTTAGTGAGGAGTTTAAGGGTCTCAGCAGACAGCCAGCAGGCTTATTCTACAGTCAGGGCTGCATAACAAGTTGCATTTGCACTCAACTTTCTAAAAAATAGTCTTTATTCTTTAAAAAAAGACCACATTTCTTGGCAAGTTTGAATGAAAAGCTTCCTTCCAACAAGGCTAGGGGAACTACAAAAAAGTAATTTTACTTTTTCTACATATGTTGTTAGCAGCTCCCTCACTGAAATAGCTTGCTGAGCTGCAGCAGGCTTTGGGCCACTGCTCTGATGCCTTGAGCGTTGTACTGCAGCACTTCAGCGCACTCTGACTTTGGGTTAATAATGCTATCTTGCTTGAAATTGCACCCCGTGGACACACAACTATCTTCTACTAATCTCTTGTTGAATTTGGGAAGGCTGCAGCAAAGCCCAGACCACTGGCAACACAGCCCAGCGAGTCCATCCTCTTTAAAGCAGAAAGGGTGAAGAGGACAAATTTGCAATTCTATCTCATTCATTATTTTGGAAAGAGAGTTGCAGAAGCCAAAGACTTCTTTTCATCTTCTGCCTTGAAAGAACTTGGGGTTAAGAAAGTGTTTCTCCCTGATGCACCTGAAAGCTTAGAGAATAGATTTCAGTAATATCTAGGCTAGTCATATCACAAAAAGGAAGAGCTGTTTTGCTTTCTCTTTCAGGAATCGCAAGAATGACATTTGAAAGAAGTTGCAGTGCACGAGCCAAGCACTCAGCTATCAGGCTATGCCAAAACTGCAGCTTTGCACTTGACCTCCACTCCGCATGCCTCACCTCTGGGAACCAGCATTACAATGCTATTTACATAATCACAGTGTTTCCCTAACACAACTCCCTGGCTGCTTTTCCCTGTGCTCCATCAAGATGTGTCTGTATTGGATAGGGAGGTAAAGGTCGTGTCAAGGATAGCTCTCAGTTTGCCAGTAGAGGGAGAGGATAAAAGATCCAGATTTTGGAGGGTGGAGAGGATTAATGCTCACTATCTCTTTTACCCTTAAAAAAAAAAAAAAAAACACAGCAAAACAATCCCCAGTGAAAACAAAAACAAGTAAACCCTTACATTATACCAAATCACTGGAAGACGACAACACTCATTTATCTAACTTCAGGGAGCACTCTGAAAATTGAGTCAAAACCATGTTTTTGACTCAAATCAGTGGATATTCTGTATCTGTCTCAAGGACTATTACAAACGTACTGCACACTCAGCTGCTATCCACCTGCACAGAATATTACTTAAACACAATCTGATAAACTATATATTTTATTTTTTTGGCTCATACTACTAGCTTACAACAAAAACTTCCAGTTTTCAGTGAGTCCACGACCAAGGACCTGGGTGGGAATGATGAGCAGGGATGGGGAGGCATTTCAGAAGTGCAGCTGTTTCATATTGAACCCCGTCGTCAGGTAGCAGAGGCAGCACAAATCAAACGGAGGAAGAAAGGGGTAAGCATCCACGCACAGAAGCAGAAGGGAGGGGAGAAGCAGCCTAATCAAAACTAACAGCAGGATTTCTGCTCACACTTCAAACCGAGAGCAGCTAAAGCCCTTCATTTCTGGTTCTTGAAAGCAAACCCCTGGAGTCTGTGTGGAGAAGTGCTCCACAAAGAACTGACAGCCCTTTGAATTCAGCCACTTGCAGCAGAACTAGCCTCCTTCCGCCTCCCCCAACATTTTCCCATTCTCAGTCCTTTATTCACTGGTATTACTATTACACGCTTACTGACCTTTTCATTTATACGACAAACCCGAGCATTCACTTCTGGAGCCTGAGGTTCATTATCCATACTTATTTTAGGCAACTACCCATCCTACATTCTTTTCGATTTCAAGCTCTCTGGTTCTTGAGATGTTGCTTGAACCATATCTCTTGAGAAGTCTAGGTATTCAGCATCTTTTCTCCTTTTTGTTTGAAATTATGCATACCTCTTGGCTTCATATGGCTCATCTTAGTTGGACCAAGCACTTCTCCTCTCCCCAGCCAAACGTTTTTCCCTGAAGCACGTTTTACTATTTTAGCATCACAGAAACAACTTGGGAACCCAAATAATTTGGGCAAGCATCCAGTAAAGCTTAGAGGAACCTCTAAAAAGCCTGGACAGCCCCTTGAAAGTCATCAGGAAACTGGAAGTTGCTTTGTTATGCACTCTGGTGCATTGCAACAGTCCCAGTGCATACGTTTTAGCTCTTGGGCCAGACTCACAACCACCATACAGGAAACAGTAGTAGGGGGGTAAAACCTCAGAGCATGCCCAGCACTAACTAAAGCTTCCCAAAATTTGTAGCAGAATATCACACAAAGAAAAGCCAGATTTTCCAAAGTGTGCTGGCATACTTCAGTGTGGACAGGCTTTGTGCAAGCAACTTCTGCCAGCACACCTACCCTTTGCCAACTGCAGTCTTAAGTGTCTTGAAAAGAAGCACCAGCACCCTTGTCAGAAAATATTTCCAGCAGGACTGTGAAGGGATGCCTCTATCTCCACTCAGTTCCAACCCAGCATTAAACCTTGAGCCTTTAAGTGCTAAAAAGCTATCAGTGCTTAAACCAGATCATACCTCATCACACAGGGGAAAAAGAAAAGCTCACTAAATTTCCATATGCTGCTAAAAGTTCAAAACGAGAGCAGCACGAGTGTTTTCTGCAAGATGTATTGCTTTCTGATGGTATTTTTGCAGAAGATAGGATTAGTTTCATGCTGTCTTGCAGCGTGATCAAGGGCTATGTAAGGATGATAATTAAGTGAATTCTATTGCTAGCTGTCGCCAGTGATAAATACGATGCATAATTAAACAAGCGGCACCTAGACTGCCTGGAGGAAACAATTATTTAGTGCTTTCATTAGGACAGACTCATTTCTCTCACATTTTTTTTTCATTATGTACTTGTGTTTAACAAATCTGCTGAAAACGAGCAGCCTCATATTAACTCTCGTGGTGGGGGCAGACCCCCGTGTGTCACCGGACGAGTGCCCACCTTGCGAGTACAGGAGGATCTGCATCTCCAGCAGCACACAGGTGAAAACCTGCACCAGGTTCTCCAGACCCAGCAGCTCGAAGACCTCCCGCAGCGGGTAGTCAGAGAGCGGCAGCTCGTTGGGCCCAGGTCGCTGGCAAATGATGGGCTCGTAAACCCCATAAAACTTCAACGACCTGCCCGGGGGAGGCAGGGGCACCTCATACAGGATGTTGTGGATGTAGCTCTCCAGGGGCAGTGGCGGCGGCTGCTGGGAGGTGACCGCCTTGTAGAGCTGGACCAGGAACTTCTTGCAGGCTTGCATGAAGGGCAGAGGGGTGATGAGGCATATGCATTTGGAGACGTACAGCGTGTCCCTGCTGATGTCGTAGGAGTTGTACCGCTGGAGCTTGGCGAGGGAAGTGGCGTCACCCTCGTCGATGCTGCTGGCCAGGGAGTCCATGCTGCAGGAGGACGAGGCGCAGACGCTGCTGTATTGCTCCGCGTTGTGCATCTGGTACAGCGTCTGCATGGCTGTGCAGATCTGCTTGCTTGTGACCTCCTCGTAGAACGTGAGCACAAACCCATACGTACGAGAGCCATCTTCTCTGGTGATTATGAACGAATGCAGCTGCGGATCTCTGTTATCGGCCTGCGTCCTGAAAGACAGCCCTTTGGGCATACACAGCTGAGGAAAAGAGAAAAGAAACAGATAAGGTTATCTAAGCTATGATTTTATTTTGTTACTTTTGCTTTACGGGTACATTCTTGTTTTCCATTGCATCATAACAAGCTGTTTGCCATTACACACAATCCTGAAAAAAACATCCATGAAAAAAAAATAAATTTTGATTTATCACTCAGCAAAATATTTTGCAGTGATTGTAACACTTGTGGGTGTTTCTTTGGGACATAGCCTTGGTGATAACTTGAGGCAATTTTCCAGGCATTCCTCAGGAATTCTATCAGCCATCTAATACAAAATAACATGTATCCAGCAAAACATGTTTGTACATCAGCATGAAACTCCTCATGTTCTGACCAAACCAGTGTGATTACAAACAAAGAATAAAAGCTTTCTTTGTGTCTTCTATCTGAAGGAAAGAAAAAAAAAAAAAAAGAAAAAAAAAAAAAGGAGAGGCAATAGGGAGACCCTTCAAAGCGCTCCTGCTGTTCCAACTTGCTCTTCCACTCAACTGAGTGCCTCCCCTAATGTCTTATCCTGACCAGGAGTAATTTCTTCTGATGGCAGAAAAGGTCAAGAGAAGTAATAACGTGTGTTCTACCACATCCCACCCTGAACTTCATCTGTGCACCTTGCACAGACCACTCAACAGCCTGACAAAGCTGCTACCAGCCCAGCTGGCATTCAGACAGGTGGTCCAGACCCACCTCACAGCATGCTAGCAAACCCTTAAGTCATCTAGGACAGCTCCCATGTATTGTCCTAAAAGTTAATGTAAAGGGTAATAAGTGGCCCGGGGTTCGTAGGATTTAATTCTATTGATGGCTTTGCTGACATAAGCCATGTAATTGCAGCTTGAACCACTTTTAACAACATCCACATTTTCATACAAAAAGCTTATAGTTTTTACTGAGGCGTTAACAGCAGTACCAAAATCCTTCAATAAAGAAGTAAAAACCCTTTGTTTTACACTTTATTTATTCTGCACAATAAATATCTCAACTCCATTTTTCGGCAGACTTGCTTAATAAAATTCTATTTCTAGAATGTAGACTTCCAGCAGTGTCTATAGCCTTATCAAATCCGATCAGTCTGAAATCACAGGTTTGGATCTCAGCTCTATTGGGCAAATTTTCTTCGCTTTACAAAAAAAAAAAAAAAATACTTGGGTAAGCAAATTATATGTACGGGTGCGTTGCAGAATTGATAAGCACCAGGGAAGTTCACACTAACTGAAACAATTTCGGATGGCTGGGTTAAATAAATTTTCTTTGAGTCTTAAATATGATTCCCTCCTCCCTTATATGCCCACTGCATAGTCACAAAGGGACCCATCTATTAAGTTTCCACTGTAGCCCAGCATGTGCTGAATATCAGTATTTTAAGTCCCTGGCTGCAAACCCTGGCAAAGAGACTGCTGGGTTCGACCTCCAACAAGGCACAGGAAAAGGCAGAGGAAAAAACAAGATGTGAGAGCACTGCGGCAGGGAAATGACCAAGAGCCTCTGAAGCTGCTAAGATCAATGGGAAGGGCCAATGATCATTTTCAAGTGATGCAGTGAGCTCCATGTTTGCAGTTCATGCATGAAAACGTTTATCTTAGTGCCTTGGACATCAGTGACTCCATCATGTCTATATTTGCCACATGGACCACAGGAGACCATTGGGGAAAAGCTAACTTTGGAGGTGCTGGGGGTTTGAAAGCTCTGTGTCCTGGTAAAGCTGGCTGATGGGTACTAAAAAGGCAGTCAGTCATCTTTTCTGCATCTGTGTACAGCCACAGAAAACTATCCAAGATTACTGATCAAAGGATAAGACCTTGATTTTCAGAGCACTTTACTATTTACAAGAAAATTTAAACATATCTACCAGTGGGAAAATGTGGAATTAAATCATAAGTGCAATAAGGCTTATAATCAACACAGTTTGTAAAAACAAAAGGAAGCTGCACAAAGCAGGACAAAAAGACGTCAATTAATCAATACCCCCATCTCTAGAAGTGATGAGGAGATGCCTTTTTTTTTTTTCTTTTATTTTTTCCCCAAACACAGGTGCAGGACACACACACTGTAATCCCTCCCTCCAGCCTTCACCAGATTCAGATGTTTCTAAACCAAAGGCTCCCCCTGGTTCACTGCCATCAGCGTGGGTTCACATATTCTTCCTTAGATTCTCTATTTCATGTTTTGAGCCCCTCTATATTTTTCACTCTCACAGCATGCTGTGGCAGTAAGTATTGCATCTATGCTTATTGCTGTGTGGGTGAGGGATGCTTTTCTTTTTAAAACCCGCTCCTTCAAATTATGCTGAGTAGCCTTTATTTTATTTCAGTACGTGAAATCCTAAATGGACAATGCTTCCTTGGACTCTAGGAATATATGCAATTATTTACATACCTTGATGAACCGGAGGACTAAAATTGGGAGTATTATTTCCTAAAAAAAGATCACTTTCCTCTACAGAGACATTCAGCTTGGGATGACAGATGACTTGCAGAATGGCTACAGAAGATAGTACGTGACATTAGGCAGGGACAATCACTGAAAGCAGTGGGGGGAAGAAATATTTCCCTATTAAACAGAACTCTGCATACTTTGAAAGGGAGAGAAAACATGACTTGTAGGCAGAGTGATTTCTCAGGACTTCAGGGGGTTACTTTTAAAGCGACACGATGGTTTCAGAAGGCAATTGAAATTCCCTAGGCATCCAACAGTGCTGAGTTCTCACAAGTTAACCTTCAAGGATTTATGCATTTTCTTCTCTGAGGAAAATTGCTTCTGGAAACTCACATAAAGCAAACACATAGGCAGAACTAATACGGCAAGGCAAGATCAGAAAGGCCAATAATTGCCTCAAGGGACTCTGTGGAGGTGGATATTACTTTAAATGATGTTTCAGATCAAAACAATAAAGAAGTTTTCCAAAAGATGATTTAAAAGACCATTAAATACTGCTGCTGTTAGTAAATGCTTTTTTTTTTTTCCTTTCCTCCAAAGACATTACAAATAAAAGATGTGTTCTTCAGCTATTTGATTTCAGCTGAATGCAGCTCGTTCAATTATTTTATTTTAATAGGTCTCTTGCTGGTTTGGGTATTCCATTTTTGTCTGATAATATGATCACAATTCATGAATACTAGACGTTTTCAAACGTAATGTGGGGGACAGATAATGCAGCAATTCCAGTTATTGCCTCTTTCTGCCATATTCCTGCTGCACACCCCCATCACTCCGCCTCTTCTGAACACCCCTAATTCAGAGGCAGAACTAAAAAGCAGAAGTAGCCTCTGCAGTTGAGTTATTATCATCTTAACTGTGCTTGTCAAGCATCGTTCTGATTCTTTTGTGCCTATTATATACACAAAGTAATGTGGAGACCAACCCAAATATTGCACCATCTCCATCAGTGCACATTTGGAAGCAGAGAACAGAAATTCCCAGCTGTCAGCGGGCAGAGTGACTGATACTGGCATCAGGCTCATCTCTGCCTTTCTGTGCGTGACTGCAGTGCCACACTGTCAGCTCTCAGTGTCATTGCTACCTCCAGCTCCTGTGTTTTCATGTTGAATATTTGGCACAATGCTAAAAAATAAAAAATAAGATAAATTCAGCAGTAAGGGAGATGATCTTTGGAGATTTCCAGACCTTCACGATTGCAGGAAAATTTCAAACTGTGAACTAAATGTAATTCAGGCTGTGTTTTCAAAAGCCATTTATTTATTTATTTATTTATTTATTTATTTATTTATTTATTTATTTATTTATTTTTAATGTGTTCCCCATGTCTCCATCAGCCTGAGGGCCATGAGATTCTCCTGATCTCATCTCTGCATCATAAGCAGAGGTTAGTTCTGATTTACTCGTATGCAGTCCTACCTTCCTCAAGTGTGAGGCGCATCTGAACTAGATTAGGGGGAAGGGGCTCCTTAATTTTCTAATTTTGAGTTAGACCCAATAGGCAGTTTTGAAGATAGTTAGAATCGGTAATACTGCTTTAATGATATTATTACAATTGTTTACTTTTAAATCACAAAACAAATAGCTTTTTCTATGCTAGAAAGCTTATCTTAAACAACAATAGTCTGTTGTCTCTGTCAGGAATCATTCATAATAAACACTCTGGTGATTTTGGCAACATCCTGTGAATATCAACTTTTTGGGAAATTTTCCAGTGGTCTTTTAATTCTCAATGCCCCTGTATAAATTTCCAGAAGCTGTTTTCTCCTCTCTTGCCCAGTCATGAGACTTAGCCACACTGTCAGACTTGCAAATTCAGCTGAGAAGAAAGAGAGATACAGAGGACGCGTTGTTGTAGAGGTACCATTAAAAGTGATCACCTAGCAAAAGCTGTGGTTTAGGCAAGTTCAACCTTCTGAGTAAAGAGACCTTGTGACACGCAGCATCAAGATTTTTGTTGTACTCAAAAATTTCACATAAATATTAGTCTCTCAGGAATTCCTGGATTTGCCTCCTTCCCACCTGATGTGTATCCTGGGTGACTGCAACCTCCTCAGTCAGCCACTGAGACAGTGGTTAGACTCGTTTCATCACATAGTATATTTAATTAGAAGCAGCCAGGTAAATACAGCATCTTATTTTTGTTTTGCTTGAAAGCACTGTGTATTTTCACAATATCTCCTCCTCTGCAGCAGTTCAACCAGCATGCATATTTGGTGCATTTAGTCCCAGCAAAAGCTCCCTGTGCACCATATCACGAGCACTGGTTGTAAACAACCCAGGAATCATTTTAGACTAGAAGTTGGTAGGAAACAACAGCTCTAGAAGGGAATTTCTTTACCTACCATGTTGACTGCATCCTGGTCAAAGGGGTTCCACTCAATGTTCTGAGGATAATGGGCCAAAACCTTGGACTTGAAGGTTCTTCTTAAGGGACTCTGGTCAAAATTCTCTCCTGCAACAAGTGAAAAAATAACGTCACAACAGTGAGCCTTCCAAGAGAGCTGGCCTGGGCAGCTTTCATTCACTTCATTATGTATTTATTTATTTAGGTGAAATCTGACATGCATTTTCCCAACAGATGTACCATTTTTGAAAGAGAATCAAAGATGCACACTCAGTCTAACCTTAACCTTCTTCCCTTAAAATCTTAGCACAGTTGCAATGCAGCTTCCAGCTGAGTATTTTCTGCATGAAAATTTATCGTTAAGAGAAAAAATACTGATGGAGTTTTATGGAAAAAGACCCTGTAATCAACTGGATCTCCATAATCTCTGTATTTCTCTGTAGTTTCAATAGTGAGATAGGGCTTTACTTAGATGCTGAAAGAGCTCTATCTCAAGTTTGTAAGAAATGGTCAATAAAAAGTACAAGCACCTCTCAGTTATTACAAATTATTTAAGGATTTGTTACAGATTATGTTTTATATCCCAAGTTCTGCACAAAGATTAAACTTTTATTTTTTCTATGTCAGATTTCAAGGACAGATGTTTTCCACGCAGAGAAGAATGAAATCAGACTTCAAGCAGAAACACATCCAGTTATCAGCATACAACAAGTGTATTTCAAAGGGATATTGCCAGTGGAGTTTCTATCATTGGAAATTCTACGGTATGCAACACAGTGATCAAAAGAGGAAGTACTTAAAAATTGGTGAATTTTACTAAAATATACTGCCTTCCTCGCCCATGTAGTAGGTTACTAATTTAAGGCTTCTTGCTTTAAAGACTAACAGGTGGGACTTTCCTCTTCAGTTCCTTTTTCATATGAGAGGAGAAAGGGATGAAGGCCCTAAGTTCAAAATGTTAAAGATGTCCAAAGCTTACGCTGCACTCAGAGGCTGCCTTTGAGACTTCTTAGTGTTACTTAGATACTTTAAAAATATATTGTTACTGAAATAGAATTTAATTTCTTTAAAAATATAAATATTTTAATCTCTTCTTTTTTAAAGTATAAAGAGAAATATATTTTTTCTTAGAGGAGAAATTATTTTGGATGAAAAACCATTTGATTACTTGGCAAGCTGTAAAAGCAAGCCCCTGTTCCTGCAGAAACAAGTCCCTAACCTCACTAACCCTTCTCTCAAGGCAAAGTGGACTGTGGGAGTGTAATTTGTGCCTGTTGAGCTCCATATGACAACACAACATTTACACAGCTAACAGCCTCTAAATGATGTTGCAAAATTCATAGCTGAGCAGTTACCCTAAGGTTACTGAGGCCCCAGGCATTTAACACATGCCCTTTGCTCCTTGCAAATCACAGGCTACACAATCATTTGGCTCACAGTGGACTATTTTATTACTTTTTATACAGGAAACCTATGAATCAGTATTAGTACATGGAAATTTCTGTACAAACTGATACTTGCAAACAGAGCTTCTCAGGCTTTCCCTTGCAGAGCTTAGGATCTGCAAATAATTGAAGGGAACGTGTAAGACAAATACACAGTTGCAATTCACAAGGCAGTATTTAGCCTGGCAAAGTTTTAGGAGGGTTGTAAACCAGTTGCTGCATTAAATACTGCCTTTAAAAACCCCACTACATGGATTTATTTTATTTTTTTTTCCAGAGTGGGGAAATAAAAACAGTTAATGAGATTAATGAGTGCATAGAAACCCTTAACACATCCTGAATGCAGAAGGCAGAGCCCACGCTGCAGCGGCACATTCTCTTTGCTGCCCCGCCACAACAGCATTATTTGCATGCAGACAGGTGGAGGAAGAGGAGGCAAAGGTCAGGGATTTCTTACACCAAAACCAGCCTTCTGCTGGGTCACATGTGGTCGGGCAGAAACTCCTTGAGATGTGTGACTCAGCTGTGCTGGGGCTACACCTTGCCCTGCTGTAAAAGCTGCCCTGCCAGGTGAGCTCCAGAGCTAGCTCTGTCTCCAGCTCAGCTTCACTACATGCAAAGAATGGGTTTTGAATCTTTCCCTTTCAAGACAAAGATTTTAAGGATATGGGTATTTTTATATATTGCTCATTTTTAATGTGACTTAGGGCATGTTCCTGCATATTTTATTTTTTTTTCTAGCGTTGTTTCACTTTATTTTGGTGGATAAATGTAGGCGAAAAAATAAGCTTCTACAAGGATATTTAGTGCCTGGGAGGAGAAAAGCTCCAAGATGATGCGGTGCTGTGTGTTCCCTGAGGCAGGAGAAACTGCAAATGGAATGATGCGAGGAGCTCTGGCGGGGGATCCAGCCTGCTTCTCAAATTGCTCAAGGCAACCCCAAAAATCCAGCAAAAGTGCATGCATCATAGAAATGAAGAAAACTGGAGGTTTCAGCTAAATTGGGTCATATCAAAAAAACACATCAGCGTTTAGCTCACTAGTTCATCACATTTTTCAAGCAGGACAAGGCTTACTGCTAGCTTCTGTGGCATTCTAGAGCATAAACTTTGCAAAGATCCTGCTGTTACAAGGCCATATGAATCAACTAGACAAAAATCAGGGTATTTCCCAGTTATATGTCAGTAGAATAACCTCTTATTTTGGTCCAGAAGTTCTTTGCTGAGGCACTAAAGTAAAAGATACAATGCTATCCACTGATTTCTGAAGTTGCATAGACTAAAATCCCAACAAGGAAAGCCAGCAAAAATTCTGTGTCCAGTTATGCACCTAAACATATTTGGCAACATTTTTCTTCATAGTATCAATGAGTAATTAAAGTGCTTGCTTATCCAAATAAATATGCATGAGGTTATTTCCTAATTAGATCTTCAATCTTCCTTGCATCTGACGCTGTTTATCTTACAGCTGTGAATTAGCAGCAAGGCAGGCATTTGATGCTAAATTCATTTGGGTGCTTCTGCTGAAACTTTGAAGAGCACGTGGACAACTTGGTCAAGATCTCCGCTGTTAACAGAAAGTGACCGCTGCAGCCCATGTTTCTTTAAAGGTTCCCTTTCTGATGATTAAAAATGTTAGTGAAGTAACCTAACTGATGCTATTTGGACAACCTGTGAGTTTCAGAGACAGTTCACAGGCTGAACCCATTGCAGGTTCTAGGTGGATACACAATTGTACAGGTGTTAGGGAAACACCTTTTGCTTGATTAACAAGCCACAGTCAAGAACCAGCTGGATAATTAATCAATTATTAGCACCTGACTGCAAATGGAAGTCCAGTAGAATTGCACAGTAAGGACATCACTTACTGTTCCTAATACTTGTGCTCCTACAGAGGTAACAGAGAAGTTGGGGCAGGCTCTGCCCAGGCTCCCTGCTTGTGGGGCACGCTCAGGAGGCCCCGCTTCCAGCACACCGATGTCGTCTGGCACCCTGGGGACACAGCTCTGCGCCCTGAGACCCAGTGTGACACCAAACCACCTGGCTGTCACCTAAATGGGTTCCATATGTGCACAGGAACAGAGCACTGGGGTCTTGGTTTGATGGGTCTCTACAAGTTGGGCGATGAGGCCTGTGTTGGAGGAGAGGGCAGTTGCTGCATGGTGCCTGATGCCACCTCACATTTAAGTGTCCTCTGACAGGAGACCAGCACTGGTGGGCTGTGGAAGCACATCAGATCGCTCAGAGAGCTTTGCAGGGTAAACCTGGAAGGCTCCTGCACTAGAAAACACTCTCTTCTCCCAGTCCGGTGACTCATTGACCAATCCCACCAGATAAAGCTGTACTTATTTCCACGTTAGACCAAAAATTACATCACTGGGGAACTGAGAGTGGGGAAGCCCTTGACCTTTTTCTGTTCTTGTTATTGAACACCCTTTGTCTCATTTTCCCTATAAACCTCTCTGCCTATCTGACAGGCAGTACTCTAGTATCATCTGGAGCAATTGGAAAAGAACAAGTTGCATTTGCCAGTAAGCCACAGTAAATGTGATAAACTGAGGGTTTCAGTCAGGTTTTGGAGATAACCAATAATTTATATGCTGCTGCAAATACTTGTACTGTTGTTTAGATGTCAGACATGTCTAAAACATTCTGTTTGCGAAGCATAAACGTTATTTTAAAAAATCTGGCTTTCCAAAACCAGCAGTAACAGTCTTCTAGTAGGCTGACAACGTGGATTCATTTTACCCAACAAAGTAAATGGCACAAATAACTTACCTTTGTAGAGTCTTGGGGTTTGCATTTTGGTACTACAGATTATTTTTTAAATTTAAATTAATGATCAAATACACACAAAGCACGATTTTCTCAATCAGTGAACACAAGACAGAAGAGAAGAGCCAACAGAGCACACCAGAGTGAATCAATCGGTTATTAGTTCGAAGGGACATGACACTGCACCCTCCATACAAAGCTGCCCCCAGGAAGCCAGACAGCGTAAACTTTCGAAGGAGACATATAATTTTGGACAGAAACAATAGAAGGGTTTGACAGAAAGCAGCCCGCATGTCAGAGTGAAGTGCTGTCGTGTGGCCAAACCACCAGACAGCACCCGGCTCTCACCCACACGACATGAGAGGTGTGGACCACACTGACAAGGGGCTGGAGGAGACCCACAGGGAGGAAAACCTTCTTGGCAAACATGGAAGGGACCTGGACTGAAGGGTACATTATAGGATCTACTGTCACCTTGCTCAGTTCTGAACTGAGGAGGCACATGTAGCAAATAACTTTTTTTTTTTTAGCTGCTACTGTAGGCAAACAGTGAATTTTCATTAAATCTACTACGCTCTTAAATGCTTGCCTGCTAGCTTCCAAAAGAGGATTAGCAAGGTACATTAAAAATGAAGCAAGTATCAAATGTAAATTGAATCCATATTCTAAAATATTAATGGCCAGATAACAGTACTGTGAGTACTGACAGTAACACCGTATTTGATGTGTGGGACACATTCATGTGAACAGCACATCTCATAGGGTAAGCTCCCTTCCAGAGGCAAGTTAAAAAGTTGGCTTTGAGTTGAATTCTTTCAATTTTTGTGTATTTTCAAAAAAAAAAAAAACATTCAAGTATTTTTCAAAATTGTGTAAAATGTGTCAGGCTTAAGTTCAGTTTCAAGTGGATACCACATCTTATGCAATGGTACTTTAAGAAAGCTTGTGCTTTCCCTTAAAGGCACTCATTTCTATAGGGCATTTAGTTTCAAAATAAAAGTAAATGCTGAAGCAATGGATGCTAATGTCATTTCAAAGTGAGAAGATTTCTCAAAATTAGAAAATAAGCATCTTTATGTTTCGGGTGAAGGATGAAATTACTAGGGAAATGCAGCTGCAGTTGTGAAGTTGTCAGTCATGATAGCTTTCATATGAGTGATCATATTTAAAAATTTAGTGATGTTAAGGTTTCAAATAGATCTGTATTAATTATCACAGCTACAGAGGCATACAAAAATACATACTAAATAGGCAAAGGCATCCTCTACCCACACCCTCTGGTCCAGGGAATGCCAACTATCTGCCGGTTCTTACAGGCTCTGGAACGTAGACAGGAATGTTTGTGACTACCAACATAAAAATATCTTTTATTCCTTTAGAGGAACATACTGGGAACACGAATGTGCACAGTTCTGTGGATCACGGCCACAACCTCTTTGATAGCTATTTCTAATTAAAAGTGTTCAGCACATCCAGCTATGTTATTTCCCTGCAGGCTGAACTTTGTTAAGCTTATTGGATAACTGTGTGAGCCTGCATGAGAAGCTAGAAATATACAGCATGCAAGTGGGGACAACACAGAGACAGGAATAATGCCTGGCTGTTGATTGTTGGGTTCAGGAACTGGTTACTTCGAGCAGCACACAAATTGAGCTCTGCTGCACCTTTACGCCAAAGCAGCAGTAGTTAGCTACTCAGTATTCAAGGACATGAACTCAAAGAGGCATCATCTCCTACCACATGTTCTCATAATCTTATGGTGGAAGAGGGAAATGGTACGAAGAGGGGACTGGGACAGGGCAGAATAAACAGTTCTTGTTCCAAAATTTTGAAGTCTGAGTTTATTCACCAGTAAACTGTTGTCTGTAAGATGGTGGTGGCTTTACCTATCTATTTTGGAGTTATGGTGTGGGCAGGGACTAACCTACCTAGTAAAACTCCTGCATGTCAGTATTTAGAGGAATTGACTGATATTTAAGCTTGAAGGCATAGTAGGTTGTGTCCTCTATCTGCAAAGCTGTGTGTATGTGTACAGACCTCTCTAACACTGGTATTTATCTCAAGAATCCAAAAGATGCTTCCTTCAGGATTCAGGAACCTCTGAGTCCCTGTAGCAGAAATCGGTGGATCTGGACCTTCCAGTGTCCTTTGTCTACAAATGTAGACAACTAAGTCTAGCTGGATTTCTTGCTAGGTATCCTCTAATACAGCCTCACACAAGATTTTTTGGTCTTTATGAAGCACCCACAAGATCTAGCCTATTGTATATCCACTAATATACCTGACACCACCAGTGGCGTTTCCTTGGAGAAGGGAAGTACATCTGCCAAGAGAGCTTCAAGGAAAAGAATAAAATTTACCAGATATTGATTTAAGTGAGGTAGAAGAGTGAAAAAATCCAAGGTTTTGGTTTCTAAACTCTGACCCTTAATTTGATTCAAGGGGAACTGGAAGATGGAAATAAAGAGACACAGAGGGCCTGATTATTGATTTGTCCTTAACCCCTGTTTACCTGAGGCTTTGTTTGCAGTATCTGAGCTCTTGCCATGGAGATCTGCTTCTAGCCATTTGTACAAGACTACACAACATAACAAACAGAAATAAAAAAAGCACGTATGAACAACATGAAAAGATATACAAATGTACTGGGGAAACGGAGGGGGGGAAAAAAAGGTGAAATGAACTGTTGAACACATTGACAGACACTGTAGAAATGCTTGTCAAAATCAGTAACAAGATTAAATTCTAAGTACTTCGAACAGCATGCTGCCATATAGTTTCCATATTACAAAATCTGCTTTGTTCATATATTAAGCCATTCCAAAGCCTGGGAAAAAAATGTTATTTAACCATCACTGAACTAAAATCAAGAAGCTTTTGTTAGTATAATACTGTTAGTTATGTTGTTGCATTTTCAATGCTGTACTGGATGTTATTTTCAGGACTTTTTAAAGTTACTTATTACAAGACAGAAATGATGAATAGAACTATTAGGGTGGTTTTTAGGTGAAGTTTTGAAGAAGTCAGCTCTACATTTATAACTTGGATGAACAATTTTAATCTCTTCTAGTAACAGATCCACCAAAAAGTGCTCGTAATGACAAATGGAAAACTGCCCTTCTACCACATCTAACGGAGGTTTCTCACAACCGTTTTGCTCATCTCCTGCAGAAAACCAAGAATCTTTTCACAGACACCATAGCGTTCCTTCGTCAGGCAAAGTCCCATTCCTAGACTGCACAGAGGCAATATGCAATCCTCCTCAACTTAAATTTATTTTTTTATAATCCTGGAGCATATATTAAAGCTGCAATACCATTGACCTCTCTGCTCATTCCGTTTCTAGGTGTAAATTCAGAGTGATTTCCGCTGCTGCCTCACACTTGAGCTGTTAATCCAGGCAGAAGTTCAAAGGACCCAGATAACTCTGTCAAGCCTGTATTTTCTGGAAAGACAGCCCTCTGCAGAGGGCATGGGAAAAAAAAATAAATTAAAAAATCAATAAATAGATTTGTATTTCAGGATTTTTTTTTGTTTCTTTAGGAGACACCTGAAGATAACCCACATTCACATCTGCAGGATGATGTTTTTCCACTCCAGGTGTCTTAAGCTATTCTGTTCCACTTTTGAGCTGTTTGGACCAAAAAGTTACATAAATATTTAAATTAAAGGAAATAAAACCAGCAATTGCCTACTGATTTTCTGGAAACACACTGTCAGAGCATGTTTTTAGGATCTTGGCACAGAAAGCACAAGAAGCACATCTAGTTTTTGACACAGGGACACAAATCAGTTTCTGCCACGAGCAAGACTCCAAGCTCTCCCGGTTAACAGCCCAAAGCCAAAGCACAGAGCTACAGACACCACTGCACAGTCTCACTATTTATACAACCAGAAGCAAAACGGAGCATGACTATTGCCACTAAACAGTTACACTTCGAATAGGCTTAATATTTCAGTGACTTTTTTGAAAAGGAGATCTCTTCATCTGAGAGTCATTGCACAAATCTAAATAAAGAGAAAAAAGGGTAATACCCAGCAGCAGTATCCCACCATCCCTTCGGTCTGGCCTTGATTAAGATCCTTACTATCTGCCTACAGAGTAACATTAGACAGCACCAGGCTGTCGGCTTCTTAAAATAGCCCCAGCCCCAGCTGCCAGCAGAGCAGAGACATCCTGCACCACCAGAGAACTGGGAGAATTACACATTTTGCATGATTTACAGTTTGCAGAAAATTGCATCATAATCTGTCAAATCCAAAACATCACGGTTTATATTATGTCAGCTGGGGGGATTTTGGGGTGCAGTTAAATAAACACATGTGGGGGCACAGCGCTCCTACACAATTACCTCGGTGTCTGCTCCCAATAGCTGGAGCTGATTAGCAGAAAACAGCAGACCCAGGTATAACATTGGACCTATACTCCTAAATACAGTTAGCTAAGTCTCAGGCCTTTATTTTAGATCCTCTTTGTCTATCCTGTTTATATACAGCTAGAGGCAGATTTACTTTTTTTTTTTTTTTTTCATTTTTATGCTCAAATTGGCTGTTCATTTTAAATACTTGATATGGAGCGAACAGCCATTTGTACTGATCAAGAAAGCAATCTGAGCAATAATTTAAAGTTCATTTAAGTTTCACACATCATCATTCTTAAAATGCCTGCGAACTTTTTGGTTAGTTACAGAGCAAGTAAGTAATGCACGCAACCATAGGAAACCAAAGGGTTTCACAGAACAGCCTGCGTTGGAAGGGACCCACAAGGATCGTCGAGTCCAGCTCCTGCAATGCATCCCTCACTTCCAGGAGAATGCTCATGATGGGCAAAAGATGCTCAAGCAAGAGCAAGAGACCAGCTCGGGTCTCTAAACACAAGAGGATGTCAAAGCCAGGCCTGTGAGGGGATTCCTGGCTTTGCAGGCACAGAAACATCTGCCCACTGGCTTGGGCCAAGGAAAAGGCATTTCAGATGCCATCACATCCTCTGAGAAATTTGGATAGCCCCCTGCTCAGCACGACCCTAATTTCCCACTCCTCATTTCACGTGTTTGCTTCTCTCCATGGACTGAATGCAGGGTGAGGAAACCAGTCACGCCTTTTACACAGGCCTCCCTTCGTGCTTGCACCTTCCTCTCATTTACAAGGGCAGGATCAAGTTCGAACATAACCAATTTCTGTGTAAAACACGACAACGCATTCTCAGATTGGTTTAGGAAGCACAAATGCACAAAACCCACTTTCAGTTCAAAAGAATCTAAAAGCAGATTTTGTCCTCTGCTCCGCCGGGACAGAGGCAGCACAGGGCCTTGGCTCAAGGTCTGCTTTGTTTCACCTGGTATTTCTGGAGACAAGAAAAGGGAAAAACACAACCCAAATTTGTCATCTTAAAAATCCCTCTACCATTACTGTTGAGGTTTGTGTGCAAGAATTTGGGAAAAGAAGGGGAATTTTCCAGTAAATTTTGCTTTGGGGATTTTTTAGTACAAGTCATGTTTGTTTTATCTTATTTTTAATTACAGCACACTGGATTAACTTCTAAATCAGGCTGTATTAAGAGAGGTTTAAGATTCTCTTTTAAAATTACACGATCACCCACCAGTATTTGTCCCCCAATTACCCAGCAGGGTACAAATTTCAGGTGATTTCTCACCTGAAGTCAGCAGCAGTTTCACAAAAGCTGTATTTACACAGCAGCAGAGGGCAAATACCTGCACAATAACACCTTCTGCCACAGTAATTAAGCTCGGCTTGCAAATCAGTACAAGAAAAGAAAGAAGCTTAATTTGTCGTGCACTGCTTTCAGCACTAATTGACATTGACAGAAGCGGAGCACCACGATGCCCGTCCTGCAGCTCCTACAGTCAGCTCTAGCTCCGCACTAGTTGGGTTTTTGCTTTTCAGCACCTTTCTTCTTTCCATCTTTCTTTTTTTTTCCATCTCACCTTCTTTCTTTCTCACCTCCATCTCATCTTCTTTCTCTTCTTTCCATCTTTCTTCTTTTCCATCTCACACAGCACGAGGCCTTGGTTTTCTGGCCATAGCACCGTTACACTGGGAAACATGCATTGCTGTTTTAAAGGAAGTCTTTATCTTCTGACTTCACCCAAAGCCATCCCTTGACGTGCTAAGCCACAAAAAAAAAGACCCAAAGCACATGGTTCCTTATCTTATTTTTTCCAGTTGGCCACGCAGAACCCAGCCCATGAAACCCGGGCTTTCACATCCATCCCTGCAGTGCAGCCTGTGGTGGTCAGAAGGAAGTTACCCCTGGCTTCTGGACAGGATTTGTCTGCTTCAGTTTGTTCCTTTCTCCCATACATCTGAGACACCTGGAGGTGTCTCTGAAGGTCCATCCCTGCTTTCTTGGTATGCTGAGTGACTTTTCCTCAAGACCTTTACAAGCAACAGGTTGCAGCAAGGCAATGCTTGTCTGTCAAAGGCCACAGCTACCAAGCTTTAGGAAAGCTTAGTTATCTGTGTTTTTGATGGGAAAGGGATCCAGCAGAGAAATATCTTTGCTTCTTGTAATCAGGACAGCTCTTTCACTGGCACGAAGTAGAAACACTCCCTTGTGTAGCACAAACTGGCCTTGTTTAGGGGTTTTGAGAAACTGCTGTTTAAGCTGCTGCCAATAGATAATTGTCCTTACACCAGTTTCCTAGAGCCTGTCCTCCATCAGTTCTCAACAACTGAATCTTTTTAGAAAGAGACAAAGACTTTCCACATCCTGAAAAGTCACAAGCACCCGCAGGCAAGGCATGAAGTTATCAGAGCTCTTGGATGGAGGAGTGGTGAGCAGGAATGAAGATGTGGGCAGACGAGCCCATGCAGCCATACGGGTCTTTTGCAGCTGATACTTCTATTTAAGAGCTGCCCCAAAAGCTATCACAATTTGGAGAATGCTCTCAGCTGTATTACAGTAATTGGAGATGAGCGTATTGCTGCAGATGCTTCCACTGTGAGCAAAACTGCCAGCAAAGGCACAAAATATTTATAACAAGATGCTGCGTGACACAGTTCTTATCATCTCCTAGAAAAAGCAACAGTGGAGTTCCGTCAACTAAAAATGTTAAAACACTGTTAAGAGGAACAAATAAATCAGTCTGAAAGAAAGATAAGTCCTTGCAACTATTAAAGATAAAGCCTTGCAACTATGTAGTTTAAATGCCTCTTCTGCCACAGACATCTTTGCAAGACCCTACATGTCTTGGTCAAAACCACCTGCACTTGGAAACTGTTTGAAGATCAGGCTGCTGCCAGGGAGTTTACACAAAAGGGATCATTAAAAAGCTATCGGTGCACAGGAATCCCACATCTAAGCCACATGAAAAATATTCTGTGCCTTAAGTAAACCATGTCTAGTTAGGTGGAGATTCCCCCACCCCACCCTGAACTCTCTGTTTCAGACAAAGCACAAACAATCGGCTTCATGCCTTATAACTGCTGACCACTTCGTGGCCAGGTTTCAACCTCACTGAAAACACAGAAAGCTGAAAGCAGGACTCAGTCACCAAACCACAATACAGTGTCAGGATTCACATCCACAAGTATGGACAAATACTGTTAGTTTCTGGA